CCTCGGCCTCCCAAAGTGCTGGGATTACAGGCATGAGCCACCACACCCACCCTCTTCTAGGTGTTTTGAAATGTACAATAAATTATTAATAATCACACTCACCCTACTGTGCTGTTGAACACTAGAATTTAGTGTTCAATTCAACCTGTGTCACCCAGGCTGGAGTTGCAGTGGTGTGATCTTGGCTCACTGCAACCTCTGCCTCCTGCCTCAGCCTCCCAAGTAGCTGGGATTACAGGCGCCTGCCATTATGCCCAACTAATTTTTATATTTTTAGTAGAGAGGGGTTTCACCATGTTAGCCAGGCTGGTCTCAAACTCTTAACCTCAAGCGATCCGCCCGCCTTGCCTCCCAAAGTGCTGGGATTACAGGCATAAGCCACCGCACCCAGTCAAGATTTTATTTTTGGAGACAGGGATTCGCTGTGTTGTCCATGCTGGAGTCCAGTGACATGGCTCACTGCAGCCTCAACCTCCCAGGCTCAAGAGATTCTCCCACCCCAGCCTACTGAGTGGCTGTCACATGCCTGGCAAAGTTTTGTTTTTGTTTTTGTAAAGATGGGGGTCTCACTATGTTGCCCAAGCTGGCAGACTTCTCATAGCTAAGCAGGATAGGGCTTAAACTAAACTGCTTTCTCCTGTTACTCTAAAATACTGAAGACACCTGGGGTTAGAGTATGAATAATGATTTTGCTAGTTTTGTATTAATAATATCTAAGTTTAAAATATAATGAGAGAATAAGAATAGCAGTTACCTTTGCTAAAGTTGATACAGAATGCACTTTCTTCTTATTGTTTACAATACTGTCAACCATATCAGCTACTGATAGTCCAACAGACCAGGATCTTTGACTTTTTACTCTAAGCAGTTCCATGGCTCTAGGTTACAAAAATATATGATCTCAGAAAATCCACAGAATATGCACATTTAGTTTTACATTCTGGTTAAGGTATTAATTAGATGTTTCTATGACAGAAACGAGTTATACAGCAATTGTTAGGGAAGCCTATAGATAATCTAATGTTTATTTAAACTTTTCTTAAGATGTTAGGCAGTTCTAAGAAAATACAGATGACCTAATGACATAAAAAATGTTCACTGCCATTGATATTTAACCAAATATGAATTAAAACAATAAATACCAATTTGCCTACCGATAACTGGCAAAAATTAAAAAGATTGATAATTAACTTGGAGAAACTATTAACAGGCATTCCCGTAACTGCTGTTGAGAATGTAAAGTGATCTAACCTTTTAAGAAGAAGATTTGGTAACATCTGATCTAGAAATTCCTCTTCTAGGTATTTATCTTATAGCAGTATGCTCAAGAGTGCAAAGATGTACATAATAAGCATGTCTGCATATTTGAAAACAACTCATCAAAAGAAGATTGGTTAAACAAATCACTACCATGTAGTACTATGTAGCTTTTGAGAAGAATAAGGTAGATTTACATGTACAATATGCAAAAATGTCTGAGATTTATCATTAAGGAAAGAAATCAAGTTGCAGGATAGTTTGAATAACACAAATCTATATTATTATACATTTGTAGAAGCATTGAAAAACAATTTTTTCTTTTTAGAGATAGGGTCTCTATGTTGCCCAAGCTGGTCTCAAACTCCTGGGCTCAACTGATCCTCCCATTTCAGCCTCCTGAGTAGAAAAAAATTTTTTGGGCATGTGGACACTAAGTTGTCAAAAATGGTTGTCTCTGAAAAATGGAATTACCTTAGCTTTTTAATTTCTTTTAATACTTTATAGATATCTGCAGTATTTGAAATTTTATAATAAGCATACATTCTTTTGTAAATGATAAAAATATATAAAGTTAAATTTTTTCCTTTTAAAAAGTATAAATGCAAGATTGTATAATCAGATTAGAATGAATTATACCATACACTAATCTTCTCAATAAAAAACAGAACACTTTTTCCAGTTGTTATATTCTAAAAGTCATAAGCTGATGGCTTTGAAAACTAAAAATGCCACCTCTCAGACTTCAGGAAAATGTTATTATGTGACAGTGAAACAACAAATGGCATGAATATAAATTCTGTGTAGAGTCCTGCCTATGGGGTACAGACCCTTGGAAGGCCTCTGGATAAAAGCAAAAGATAAAAGGATCTGTGTGTTACACTTTTTGTTTGCCTGAACATATAATATGGCTTATCCATTCGCATTAGACTGATTTCCAGTTCTATTTGCATGTGATTAATAGATATTCATTTTTAAGTGGTGTGGACAAATTATCTTCTACATTAAGAAAATTGTTGGCCTGGCACAGTGGCTCACATCTGTAATCCCAGTACTTTGGGAGGCCAAGACGGGTGGATCATGCGGTCAGGAGATTGGGACCATCCTGACCAACATGGTGAAACCCTGTCTCTACTAAAATACAAAAAATTAGCTGGGCGTGGTGGTGCACACCTGTAATTCCAGCTACTTGGGAGGCTGAGGCAGGAGAATCACTTGAACCCAGGAGGCGGAGGTTACAGTGAGCCGAGATCGCGCCACTAACTCCAGCCTGGTGACAGAGCGAGGCTCAGATGTTTAGATATAGAAGCAGTAAATCACTGTCTACAAATAAAGAACATGTTTTTCCCTTTAAATGTGAACTGTGTTATCTGAAAAAGCTTGCAAAGCACTCTTAGATCTACTTTCAGATAAGAAATCAAAGAATATAAAACAGTGCTCCTTTATACGTTTGTGTTTGTCCATACTAGTTTTGTTTTCAGAAGCCTGGTAAGTACATACTGTATAAATAGCTGTTAGCTATGAACTACATGATTTTTCGTTGGATAAATGCAAATTTCCAGTCAGTGTTACCTGTTGGACAGCTGCACTTCAGAGGTATGACTCGTTACTTCTTGGCCACTCCATGTGAGCACTAAAAATTAGATGAAGAATTAATTATGTTTTGCCAATGACTCTCTTTGGATTAAGATGTGATAACCGATCTTTTGCAGTCAAGGGTACCTGTGCTAATATTTATATAGAAGTTTTTTCATTTCTAGCAAGTTAGATTTTTCCACTGGATGACAATAAATGTGCTATACCACTAGCCCAAGGTGAAGAAAACTCTGAACTACAAAAAACATTATCCCAAAGTCTACTTGCCGTCTCCTTACCTGTTCTCTCTCATCGGTAACAGTTCTGCAAGGGCCATTTTACTATCAAAGTAGAAATCTATAAGCACTTGACATTTGTTCTGCTGAGAAATGCACTGAGACTAATTTCACCAGGTAAGGAATAATCTGATCACCTATTTTGGGCTAGAATTTCCATAGCTATTACAGAGGCAGAGAATCCTCTTCCTTTTTTTTTTTTTTTTTTGAGATGGAGTCTTGCTCTGTCACCCAGGCTGAAGTGCAGTGGCACGATCTTGGCTCACTGCAACCTCTGCCTCCTGGGTTCAAGCGATTCTCACACCTCAGCCTCCTGAGTAGCTGGTGCATGCCACCACACCCTGCTAATTTTTGTGTGTGTGTTTTTAGTAGAGACGGGGTTTCACCATGTTGGCCAGGCTGGTCTTGAACTCCTAGACCTCGTAATCCACCTGCCTCGGCCTCCCAAAGTGCTGGGATTATAGGAGTGAGCCACCACACCTGGCCCCAGGGTCCTGTTTTCTAAAAGAATCTTCCGGGTTACCCATTTCCTCTCACTACATCATTTATAAAAACAATTCAAAACTTCAAAGCTGTATACACAGACTGGAAATTTCTTTATATGTTTTTTTTTCTTTTTTCTTTTTTTTTTCTGTTTGAGATGGACTCGCTCTGTTACCTAGCCTGGCGTGCAGTGGTGTGATCTTAGCTCACTGCAACCTCTGACTCCCCGTTCAAGCAATTCTGCCTCAGCCTCCTGAGTAGCTGGGACTACAGGCACCCACCACCACACCTGGCTAATTTTTGTATTTTTAGTACAGATGGGGTTTCGCCATGTTAGCGAAACATGGCAGGTCTCGAACTCCTGACCTCAGGTGATCCACCCACCTCGACCTCCCAAAGTGATAGGATTACAGGTGTGAGCCACCAGGCCCGGCCAGACTAGAAATTTATATCACACTTTAATATTATTATTATTTGATATACAGTCTTACTTTGTCACCTAGGGTGGAGTGCAGTGGCACACTCTTGGCTCACTACAACCTCTGCCTCCTGGGTTCAAGCAATTCCTCTACCTCAGCCTCCCAAGCAGCTGGGATTAGAGGTGCCTGCCACCACAGCAAGCTAATTTTTGTATTTTTAGTAGAAACAGGATTTCACCATGTTGGCCAGGCTGGTCTTGAACTCTTTACCTCAGGTGATCCGCCTTGGCCTCCCAAAGTGCTGGGATTACAGGCGTGAGCCACTGAGCCCAACCGAACTTTAATATTAAATTGAAATTGCCAGTAACATTCTGAAACCTTTTCAATATTCATCTGTTTCTCATCTGTATGAAGACATTCTTTGATACAAATCTGCACATATTTGAGTAGGCAAAACAAAAATACATGTGGCTATAGAATAATATGTTTTAAGATACAAGAATTCTAAACTACATTCAAAATTAGGCCACTTAGTCATGTGTCAGCAACAAAGGACCCCATATGTATCCAGATGCCTCCCTTCCTCAAACTGATTATAAGCTCCCAGAGTGCAGGGACCATGTATTCTTCTTTTGTGTCCTCTTGTACATTTTTTTTTTTTTTTTTTTGGAGATGGAGTCTCACTGTTACCCAGGATGGAATGCAGTGGCACCGTCTCAGCTCACTGCAACCTCCGCCTCCGAGGTTCAGGCGATTCTCTTGCCTCAGCCTTACAAGTAACTGGGATCACAGATGTGTGCCTCAGACTCCCAAGTAGCTGGGATTACAGGTGTGCACCCCCACGCCCGGCTAATTTTATATTTTTAGTAGAGATGGGTTTTTACCATGTTGGGCAGGCTAGTCTCGAACTCCTGACCTCAAGTGATCCACCCGCCTTGGCCTCCCAAAGCGCTGGGATTACAGGCGTGAGCCACCGCAGCTGGCCCCTCTTGCACGTATTCTTTACCATGGTGTTGGGTACACAGAAGAAAATACAAAACCTCTCGCACAATTCATAATTATATTTGGTAAGAAAGGGGAAAACATACTTGCCATAGTTAAGTTGAAAAATAGAAAAGTTTTAAATTTTTTTTTTTTTTTTTAAGATAGTCTCGCTCTGTTGCCCAGGCTGGAGTGCAGTGGTGTGATCTCGGCTCACTGCAACCCCCACCTCCCAGGTTCAAACAATTCTCCTGCCTCAGCCTTCCAAGTAGCTGGGACTACAGGCGCCTGCCACCACGCCTGGCTAATTTTTGGTATTTTTAGTAGAGATGGGGTTTCACCATGTTGGCCAGGCTGGTCTCGATCTCCTGACCTTGTGATCCACCCACCTCAGCCTCTCAAAGTGCTGGGATTACAGGCGTGCACCACCACACCCAGCCAAAAGTTTTTATATAAGAAAAAAAGTTTTATGAAAAATATAAATACATGTGGACAAATTAAGGGATTTTTAACAATGTTTTACTTAGATAGAAGGGTGATAGGTGGATTACTTTCTTTAAACATTAGCCCGAGTGTTTTGAAAAATGTGTTTTGGCATATATGTTTTACTTAGATAGAAGGGAAATAGGTAGATTACTTTAAAAATTTGTTACATTATTTGTATGAACTTACTTAACTTGGAAACTTAAGGAAGGCTTCCTGGGAGAGGTGGCACTCAAGCCCAATCCTAAAGGATAAGCAGGAGTTAGCCAAGTGAACGAGTTCAGGTAAAGGAAGCAGCAGTTCCTAAGGTAAGGAGGCATGAGAGTGCATGAACCATTCAGTCAACTGCAAGTCAACCATCTGACTAGCATAGAATGCCTGGGAGAATGGGAGAAGATGAAGCAGGAAATAGATCTAAAGGTCCTGTATGTCATGTGATTCCTTCCTAGGCTGTAGCTGTCGCTTGTCTCTGAAATACCTGAAGAGAATATTTTATTTACACAACTGCTACTCTTATATCTGTTTCCAAATCCTAATGTTGCTTTACTTCAAAGAGTATTTTTGTATGTCTTTCTGCCAATTTTCTATTCATCACTGTCTTGCCAATCACTGTAATAATAGCTACCATTTGCTGTGTGTTTGCTTTGTGCCAGATACTGTACTAAATGCTCTAGATAAATTATCTTAAGTGACAGCAAGGAAGAGCACAGCTTCAGAGTCAGATTAGGGTTCAAATCTCAGTTCTGCCCTTCACAGATAGGTAACCTTGGGCAAATTACTTATCTCATTGAGCCTTAAGTTTCCTCATGTATAAATCTGGATAACCACCACTCCTGCACAAAGAGTTTATAAAATTTAAATGAGATATGCAAAATATTTAATACACATAGTAGGCACAATAAAAAGTAATTATAATTGCAATTACTGTGATGGTATCACTTATACAAAAGTCTAACCAGTTGGTATCTGTACATGAAACCAGCAGAGGGAGCTTCTAATCCATTTCTGACACCAGGGCCAAAGTAAATATACCTATCCATGGATATAACTAGCTCTTCAAGAAGAGTAGAAGACAGAATAAAAAGTGATCACATGGTACCTCTAGAAGGCAGACAGGGAGATGGACTGGGGAGAAGTAAATAGTTAACTTCAGTATTGGTAATGTTCTTAATTGAGTATGGATTCATCAGTGCTCAGTTATGTTTTAACACTAGCATTATGTGTGTCAAATATTACATAATACTACATTTATGCAATCTCACTTTGCATGCACCTACATCTCTCTATTTCTAGTTCCAATTTGAGACCTCAAGACAGAATTACTACATGTCTTCCCTGTGGTTTTATTCTACTTCTCTTGGACCTCTCTCAGAGTATGTCAATACAGCCTTCCAGTCATTTCCAGTATTAGACTCAAAGTTTCCTAAAGACAAGGTCAGGTTCTTACACATCTATATAGTTCTAACAGCAGTCAACACAGTGTTTATTGAGCAAAGCAGGTGGTCAATAAATGTTTCTGAAAATTGAGAGGAGCCGGGCACATTCCTCAGCCCCGGGCTCAAAACAAACAAGCCCAGTACAAACACATCCCATCCTCCCATCCCACCACATAT